TGTGAAATCAACAAAGACGCAATAGAGTTTACGTTTTGTTTGTTTTAAAATTTCCCTAACAGCATGTAGAGCATATACATTGTCGCTTGTAGAGAAACCTCTTCTAAATCCTGCTTGAGCTGGAGTTAAAATATTATTTACTTCGACAAACTTAGTGAGCCTCGCATTAAGAATACTTGTGAATAGTTTACCGAAACAACTGAGAATTGTTATAGGTCTATATGAGTTTGGATCTAGGTGTTCGCCCTTTTCTTATATATATCGGTCTGATTATACCCTTTAGCCAACAGTCTGGTACAAATCCGGAACAAAGTATCAAGTTAAAGAAATGGGTTAGGAGTGGTATTAAATGTGTGGAAGCATCAATAAAATAATCATTTTCAACAAAGTCCAGTCCAGTGGCTTTATTTCTTTTAAGATTTTTAATTGCCGAAAGGATTTCCTCACCCGTTATAACCTTATTTAAGACATCAGTGTCATATTGTTGATCATCTACAACATCATCTGATATATCCTCATTAGATTTGGATTCATTAATATCTTTATAGAACTCAAAGAATGTTTCAATATCAGGTGTATTATCAGATTTAGTGACATCCCTTTACTCAGTAGCTTCCAGTATTCTTTGGGCGAGTGTTTCATAAGGTCACGAAACTGTTTAGTGGTCTCATTTTGAAATTGTCGCATACTTTTGTCCATACATTTTTTATATGCTCTTGACGTTTGATGATAATGCGTTCTATTTAATGGAGTGTTACGTGACTTATATTTTCTTTTAGCTTTATGGAATGATTTTCGCATTTTCCTACACTCATTGTTAAACCACGGTTTATCTTTTTTCTTTCTATTCTGTTTGGGACGATTCGCGCGAACACTCCTGACGCCGAAAGTTTCGCGTGCAGCGTCCACCAGCACGTGCGCTATGTCTGTTGCAAGCTCGTTGACCAGATCTGGGTCAACACCGCGTTCGCTTGCGCTTTGTGTACGCTCAGTGAGGCGTGCGATATTATCAACATTTATATTATTGCAGTAGAGGTCCGATTTTTGGTATCATATCGTAACGGTTTGCCTATAGTAATGTTATCTTCCATTGGATTTACCGAGGGATGGACAATTTCATTGGTGATGTTTCTATGGGATTTTAAAACAAATTGAACAGGGCAGTGGACATCTGAATATAATGGTGAGTAATCAATTATTTCAAAATTAACAAAAAGACATAGACATGATGGTGACGAAATAACATAGTCCACAACAGATTTGCCTTTACATGTTGCTTTGCCGATTGTTTTGTCTGAACCAACTCTTCCATTACAGATAAAGAGATTTAAATTCTTACACAATTCTATCAATTTAAACCCAAAGTTGTTAGCCCCATCTTTATCTTGTGTGCACCTCTGGTGTGGTAGGCTCAGTTTGTCTAGTATATTCAGAGGGTTAATATCATTTTCAAGTTGTGGTACGTCCATTTCGAAATCATCAACAATGTGCTTATCAAGTAAAAGGTAATCACACATAGTGTTAGTTCTGGCATTGAAATCCCCATAAGGCTTACATAATCACTGACTGATAGATAGTGTAATAGGGATTGTTCAATCTCATTAAATGCGTTACAATTCACATACTTAGAACCTTCAGGTGGGAGATATACATTACCAATGTACATATCCTGATCAATGTGAAACACAGACTTTGATATCTTAATCCACAGAACATAAGTGCTTTCTTCTTCTAGACATGTGACTAAATCTTTTAAAGTATTTCTGATTGCAAAACCAATACCACCTGATTTTCTTAAGGACCCAGACCTGTGATGAATATGTAATTCATATCCATGTAATCTTAGATCATCAAAGATGTCAGTTTTGGTTTCTTGCAGACCAATAATGTCATACTTCTCAATAAACTCTGTAAATTCGGCATATTCAAGTCTCTTTCTTAGACCACACACATTAAGATTTAAAAGCTTACTATCTGTTGACTATAATCATTTGCAAAGCATCATCTTTGTTATTAACATCATCATCACCATCATCATCATCATCATCATCATCATCATCATCATCATCATCATCATCATCATCATCATCATCAACAACATCATTATCATCAAGATCACTATCACCATCAACATTACCGTCCGCAGCAGCAGAAGAAACACAATCATTATTAACGCTTCCCTTATCTATGACGTTCAAGGAATGGTCATGTACAGTTTCAAATGTTGCCTTGGTTGCACAATCAGTTATAATTTCATTATCCATGATATTCAGGGGAGTATTATTTACAGTTTGCATAGTGGAGTTATTTGAACAGTCAAATGCAATTTCTTCATCTGAGATATTCATATAGTTATCATGTGCAAATTCTAATGTAGGGTTGTTCACCCATTTAGATGCAGTTTCTTTATCTGATGTATTCAGATAGTTATTACTTACATACTCTAATGTGTGATTGTTTACACAATCAGATGCAATTTCTTCATCTGTGATATTCAAATAGGTGCCATGTGCAGATTTTACTGTGAGGTTGTCCACCCATTTAGATGCAGTTTCTTTATCTGATGTATTCAGATAGTTATTACTTACATACTCTAATGTGTGATTGTTTACACAATCAGATGCAATTTCTTCATCTGTGATATTCAAATAGGTGTCATGTGCAGATTCTAACGTGGGACTTTTCACTCATTTAGATGCAGTTTCTTTATCCGATGTATTCAGATAGTTATTACTTACATATTCTAATGTGTGATTGTTTACACAATCAGATGCAATTTCTTCATCTGTGATAATCAAATAGGTGCCATGTGCAGATTCTACTGTGGGATTTTTCACCCATTTAGATGCAGTTTCTTTATCTGATGTATTCAGATAGTTATTACTTACATACTCTAATGTGTGATTGTTTACACAATCAGATGCAATTTCTTCATCTGTGATATTCAAATAGGTGCCATGTGCAGATTCTACTGTGGGGTTTTCCACCCATTTAGATGCAGTTTCTTTATCTGATGTATTCAGATAGTTATTACTTACATACTCTAATGTGTGATTGTTTACACAATCAGATGCAATTTCTTCATCTGTGATATTCAAATCAAATAGGTGCCATGTGCAGATTCTACTGTGGGATTTTTCACCCATTTAGATGCAGTTTCTTTATCTGATGTATTCAGATAGTTATTACTTACATACTCTAATGTGTGATTGTTTACACAATCAGATGCAATTTCTTCATCTGTGATATTCAAATAGGTGCCATGTGCAGATTCTACTGTGGGATTTTTCACCCATTTAGATGCAGTTTCTTTATCTGATGTATTCAGATAGTTATTACTTGCATACTCTAATGTGTGATTGTTTACACAATCAGATGCATTTTCTTCATCTGTGATATTCAAATAGGTGTTATGTGCAGATTCTACTGTGGGATTTTTCACCCATTTAGATGCAGTTTCTTTATCTGATGTATTCAGATAGTTATCTCTTAAATACACTAATGCATGATTGTTTACACATTCAGATACAATTTCTTTATCTGTGATATTCAAGTAGGTGCCATGTGCAGATTCTAGTGTCAAAATGTTTATGCACTTAGATCCAGTTTCTTTATCTCTGTAATTCAAAGGGTTGTTATTTACAGGTTTCGTTATACAATTCTTTCCATAGTCAGATGCAATTTCATTATCTCTGATCAAAGGTTTATTGTTTACATATTCCACGGAAGAATTTTTCACTGAATGTGACATATCTCCGATATTCAAAATGGGAGCATTTAAATATTCTAATGTAGACTTGTTTACATAATCAAACTCGGTTTTTGTATCTGTGACGTTCAAAGAGTTATTATTTACAGGTTTTCGTGTGCTATTATTTGCAAAGTCAGAACTAGTTTCATCACCAACAATATTTAGAGAATTCTTGGCATTTTCTACGGTGACATTGTTAAAACAATTATCTTCACTGGCACTGTGTACAGTTTCTATACAGATAGGTGCATTTTTCTTGTTCGCCGGGTCACTGTTTCTCGGATGAGTGACTTTTAGCTTGTGCACTGGGCAACATGCATGGGCATGTTTAGCTTTACTGTAAGTGCACAGTACAGGCACATCCTCGTGACCACCGTCGTTTTCCTATCTATGAGTGGTGTTAGGAACATGCTGTTGTACCCGGTAAGGTGGGGTGGGGCCTTTGTAACACATTATCTACGTAGAGTTTATCAACGGACATGTAGGCTCTTTTATTGTTCTTTCTTGCATCCCTCAGCAGAGGTAACAGTACATCTCTTCTGTAACAGCTGATTTCTTCAGGAAATTGTTCAGCAATTGAAAAATTAGTTCCCTTTAGTTCTCTGGCAGCTCTCTTAACAGAGTACCTCTCAGTTGTATATATGAATTTAGCAATGAGGGGGCGTGGTTTCACTGTATCACCTGGTCGTTGTGGACGACGGGGGCGCCCAATCCTGTGGACTCTTTTGAATTTTATATTCTGGCTGTCTAGGTGCAATTTGGATTCGATGAACTCTCTGAGTAACACTTCGGAACTTTCAAAAGTCGGGGTACTTTCTGTTTCTGGGATGTTTACAAAAATCAGATTATCCCTCATTGATCTACATCTTTGATCTATGATGGATTCCTTGAGTTGCAAGTTCTCCTGACTAAGTTAACCAAGAGTGGATATGTTCCCCGTAACTTGATCTTTTAGGTTATTCAGGTCACGATGAATATCAGTTTTTCCTTTTTTCCAATCTTCGTATTGATCGGCTACAAACTTTACACTTTCCTCTACACCTGAAACACGACTTTTCACATTGTCGACTTCACCCACTTTTAGCTCGAGTGTTGCCACTTTTGTTTTGATTACCGAAATATCATTCTCGATGAGATCGAGTTTAGACAGCTTTTTGTCGATACATTCCAACTTTTCCATGATGGCCTTACTACAGTCCGGATTCAAAGGTAGAACAGAACCTTGGTTAATAGGATAAGGGCTAAATACCTGGGGTGTACCGAAGTGCGGCTGTTCCTGGGTGGTTGCGTTAGCTGAGTAGATTGTCTCCAGTGACTGTCGCACCAAGTTGCCCGTGGCGGTGGCCATGTTTGTTGTTGCAGGGGTGTCACCTAAGTTCGTGTCTGATCCACTTGAGGACGATATCTTTTTCCGCTTATTGTTGCGTTTTCTGTTGAGTTTCTGACGTCCACAGTTGCCTGGCATGTTAGTTCATATCATTTCAGTCGTTGAATTTCTGTGGTGACTTATAAGTGGGGCTTATTTTGAGAAGTGCTCACTGTTCTTTAGTTACTGAGCAGCTTGCTCCGCCATCTTGATCTCACGAGTCTCCTCTCCCGGCAGTAAGTTCCTATGCAAAAACAACAGACTTGTGTGCAACATACTCAGTCCACTTCACATGACCTTTGGTTTCATTTCTGAAGCTGTCCTGAACCACTGAATATGGGTATGTACGTATACCTGGGTTCACTATGTGTGTTGAGAAATGACACAGGGAATCAATGAATATAGTTTATCTATAAATTTGTCATGTGGGATGACTTTGTACAACGTTGAAAATACTTGGTCCTTTTCTGAGATTGTACAAATTCGAGCTGAACCTTTGAGGGTATGTGAACCCACATGATATTAATTCTTTCAGTAAATATGTAGAACGTGACGCTCGGGTGGAAGTTCGTGTCACTTGTCAAAATAATGATAATACATAATTCTGAAATACCGACCACGTGCCTGATAAAACATTCTTGGAGCTTGCTGTGGGTATTGTGTAATTTTATGAGGCATCCTTTTTAAAGAGCTGCAAAGTTTCCACGTTGTCCGGCGCTTTATAACTCTCTCTCTCACACACACACACACACACACACACACACACACACACACACACACACACACACACACACACACACACACACACACACACACACACACACACACACACACACACACACACACACACACACACGTGTTATTTGTGATGTGGGAGGTGTTCAAGATCAGACAACTTTTTTGAGTAAGTGAGTTAATATTTAACGTCACATCTGCAATATTTCAGCCATATCGTGACGAGAACATATTTGACATTGAAATGGAATATGTGAATATTATAAAAACCTGTCATCAAAGGACAGTAAAACAACTAAAATGTCACAATTAGATTTAAAACTAGTGTGGAAAGTTAAAACTAATAGCACTATTAATAAGACAAAACAAGATAAAAACAGGCTATAGATCGCCAACAACAGAAGGTAGATCACCATACTAGGGTGAGTGAGTGAGTTATTATTTAACGTCACGGTCTGCAATATTTCAGCCATATCGTGACGAGAACATATGTGACATTGAAATAGAATAGATGTATATTATAAAACCCTGTCGACGAAGGACAGTAAAACAACTAGAATATCACAACTACAACTAAAACTAGAGTGGAAAATTAAAACTAATAGCACTATGTGCACAATACAATATAAAAACTGGCTATAAATCGCCAACAACTGAAGGTAGATCACCAAACTAGGGACCATGGGGACTTACAGTACCTTTGCTACCTGCATGGTCCCTAGCTGGATTTACACCATCCCTCCAGCCGCTGGCGATTGTGGTAAGTTACGGCCATTATTAAAAATAAAAAAGTATTGTACGATTAAAAGTTTGGTAGTGCTAGATTGACCTTGAAGTTTTGGACTTACGTACCCTACAATAATTTTACGCTACTTCAACCCCCTTTGAGGGCACCGCCACTAACAATCACAGTTGCTAATTTATACTACCATGGTTTAAATACAAGTTATCTATTTACTAAGGGTGTAACGATGCATCGAACCATCAATTGTGAGCCCCCTCCTCCACGATCCAATGCATCGTTAGATCGCTTTAATTTGTTTTATAAATAACAATATCTTGAAAACATGTTGTGTCCTACCCCCGATTGGGATGAATCTCTATTCGCTCTAAGCGACAGCATTTGCCACCACCACCAAATTGTCAGCTCAAGCAGACAGCGGGGATTTTGCGAATTTTGAAATCGTAAACAATACGTCAGCTAGGTCAACTGTATGGGAACACTTTGGGTTTGTAAAAACAGATAAAGTGGACAAGAAGCGAGTTGCATGTCGGAAGTGTTAGCTGATATTGAAGTATTGTGGAAATACAACCAATTTGACTGATCATGTGCGTCGGAGGCACGGTCTTGTCTCTTGATGCGCTGGCCCCCAAAAAGGGTAGGCCTAAGAGACAAACAACCCTGACAGTGCTAAATGACAACACTACTCTACTTTCGTCGTCAAAACGAGCAAGAGACATTTCGGCAGCCCTTCTTGAATTTATTGTGAAAGCTTGGCGGCCATTCATTGTTGTCCAAAATGATGGGTTTAGGAACACGTTGAGAGTTTTGGAACCACGTTACACAATCCCCTCGCGACAGTATTTCTCAGATTCTGCCTTGCCCATGTTGTATGAGACTGAGGTCAGGAATGACCTTTCCTGTGCTGATGGATGGACTAGCAGACTCTTAAATCTACACATGTGGACAGACTCTTGTTTCTAAAGAAGATTTGGAAAGTTGGAAACCAAGATGAAATTATCTATTATCTCGCTTCATCACACTATTTGAGTAAAATCAGAGTTAATGTGAAATATTGCCATTTGCCAATTATGTTAACCTATCTTTCAACTTGAGTCACCAAGTTATCTGCTGACAGGTTTTATTTGTGAGATTTCTTGATACTTTCACAGTGACAAAAGATTATTGTCTTCTTCAAATCAGTTGAGTCTATTGACATCTTCATGTCGTTAAAACTACTGACTGACTGACTGAGTTTGGTTTTACGCCGCTTTTAGCAATATTCCAGCAACATCACGGCGGGGACACCAGAAATGGGCTTCACACACTTTACCCATGTGGGGATTCGAACCCGGGTCTTCGGCGTGACGAGCCAACGCTTTAACCACTAGGCTACCCCACCGCCCCTTGTTAAAACTAAAACATATCTACCTGTGAATTGTTTCATGTTGCACACAGTAAGTGTTTTCTATTGAAACTGAAAGGTAACCATTTGTCAAAAAGCCAGTATTTATTCTTTTTGTTGTTGTTATTTTACATACATAATTGTGGGAATCAATACAATAGACTATCGACATCGCAATAGTAGCATGCAATAGTCTATCGATATCGCAATAGTTCCCTAGACCTAAATAGTCACCCCTACTATTTACAAAACATATTCAAAATTGATGTAGTAATTCTATTTCTTTTGAAAATTCAATGATTTAATGATAATTTACATTAAAAAGATCCTTCGCTGTTTTAACATTGACCGTTTTAACAGTCAAGCAGGACATGCTTGAGCGTTATTGTATCATCACAAGGGATCCAAACCGAGGATCCTCACCTTTAAGCAAATATTCATGTGTATATCTTCTGTGGCCAGTGCCAGTGCATGATTACCTCTTCAAATCTGGACTGACAACCTAGGTAGGTGTAACCAATATAGGGTTTTATTTCATGTAATTTATTGATACCTACTTGGGTGTCCCACTTCTGCATCGGATGACGGATATAAGATATGATGACAGCTTTATAATCAGAGTATGGAAGAAGTGGTGTCACAGACTTGTTGAGTGCTGCCTTGGCAGCAAGATCGTCCATTGTATTCTCAGAAATGCCAACGTGGCTGGGTAACCAACAAAGGACAATGTCGTATTGGCCAGTAGCAAGATCATTATATAATTCAATAATTTCTATTAAAGGTGGATGTTTGCAAGAAAGATTTTTAATAGCCTGAATGCACGAAAGAGAGTCGGATAAGATTATATATTGTTTGTATTTGGGGTGTTTTTTTAATATATTTTAAGGCTGTTAGTATGGCGTTTGCTTCTGCTGTAAAAATAGGGCTGTTATCAGGTATTCGAGAAGATACTGTTCTGGATCCAATGACAGTGGCACAAGCAACAGCCCCACTATCCTTGGACCCATCTGTAAACACGGATTTGTATGTATTATATTTACTTTTTTAATTGATTAAATTCTTGTTTATATTGTAAGTCATTAGTGTCTGATTTTGTATACTTTGTCAGTGTTAGATCAACGTCTGGCCTCACCAATTGCCAAGGAGGAGAAGAAAGAAGACGGGAAGGAGATACAGTTTCCAGATCAATGCCAGCAGCAGATATAAACGGTTTAATTCTAAGCCCAAGAGGCGGAACAAGAGAAGATTTCTAATTGTATAAATCCTCATATTGGGGATTGAAGACACAGTTGAAAGCAGACTTAGATTCGTTAGAATATATTTGTGTAATATATTGTAATGATAATTTTATACGGCGTTGTGCAAGAGATGGTTCATCTGCCTCGACGTAGAGACTGTCAACAGGAGATGTTCTATAGGATCCGAGTCAAAGTCTTAGACCTTTGAGGTGGACAGAATCTAATACAATTTTTTTTAAATGTAATATTTTACAATTGAACAATATTGAACAACTTAAACACAGAAATGAAGACATGCTGCATCTTCATAACTTTATTCTATCGCATGATATTACAGACGTTAATAATGGGATACAGGTTTAGGGCAAATGTGGCCGGAAGTTACATCCTTGATGCTGCTTGCTGTTTCAGCAGTGTCGATGTGGAACACGTGGTTCAGAGCAGGGAAAGAAGCGACCAAGTCGATGGTGGTGTTGTCCACTTGGTCAGTGACTGTCACCACAAACACTTCCGCCTTGGCTTTCAACCCATCAATGCTACTTCTCACGTCTTCATTAGCGTCACTGTTCCCGTCAGTCAAGAGAAGAACCACATTCGGAACGTTAGACCGATCCCCATTGATTTCCGTGAAGACTTCAGATGTTGCAAGTTTGATAGCATCTCCAAGAAATGTGTTCCCCCCTGTATGCGTTTTGGAATCAATGGCTTCCATGATGCTTGTCTTCTTGTCCCTGTAGGTATTCAGGTGGAATAAGACTTCAGCTGTGTCCGAGAAGACCATGAAAGCCACGTTAGTTTCCTTTGAACTTTTGGAGATGTTTCTGATGGTATCAACCACAAAGGCCTTCGTTTTCTCATAGTTATGTGGACCGATAGATATAGAAACATCCTCTATGATGATAACATCTTGTATAATTGGTGTGCATTCTGAAACACAGAAGGTGAGATTTAATTTCATCGTCATGAAGATAGAAAGTAGCAGATAAAGATCAGGACGAAGGTGATTTGGTGAAGGTGACAGAAAGGTTGACATTTATGTTCATGATTAATTTTACTGAATATAATATGAAGGCTGATGACTAAATAAAAGCATATTGTTTCATGCCGTAGTCATCACTTTTCCAGTGATATCAACAGCAACATGTATGCAGCTGAATAATGTTAAGGATATCTCATTATGTTTATTACTTAATTTTCAGAATAGATTTGTTTATGAAATGATTTAAATACGTTTATAGCTACCGATAAGACATGACAATCCCGAGAAGCCTTGGGCACAGGTGCAAATGGCTCTGTTCGGCACACACGTTCCATTGTTCCAACAGAAGTAGATGACACATGCATCTACATCTGGAATATAACGGTATATTTCACCTATTCTCACGACATGTGCACCATTTGTAATTGTATGTGTCCCCGCATTAAAAACAACACTCTTCGACTGGTTTTACCTGCTCATTTCATGTTTATACTAGGCGACAGGCTTGGCAGGTACCCGAGACATATGATACACCCAATTGTTAATGATCTGTTATTCATGTGTGTGACTCAGGGTAAAAAGTATGTCAAACCCCCCAAAATGTGCATGTCTCCAGTGTTAGTGAATATTTAAAAGTAAATATTCATCTAGTGTGAACAAAACAGATTACATTTTCGACATAAGGTATTGTCCCTTTTGTCCATACCCAGATCATATCTTTATATGGATTATTTTTTTTAGAATATTTGTTTAATAAGATGTCTCCATAAAAGTGTAATCCACGTTACGTCATGAAAATGACCATATTTTTTTTTTAGAATTGTATGTATTTATTAGATAGTATGCCTTATTTACAATTTTATATTGGGACAATACAATATCAATGCCAAAGCCACTAAATTTCAGCCGATTTCTCACAATGATACTTCACAGGTTTAATGTTCAAGAGATTTTTAAGGATGTAATCTACGTGACGTGACACCATAACATAAAAACTGTACACCCAATGTCACTATAAGGATTTTTAAATAAATGGACCTATTCAGTAGTAATAATCTAGTGAAGGAGATGCTCTTTCATTACTTTAACCGTTTGAGGTGAGGTGAGGTGAAATTGGGTTTAAACGTTTGATGGGTGCTAAGGGATGTCTGTGTAATCTACATGACCTCATTCCAAAATAAGCATATTTTTTTCGCGACTCCTACTCAGGTAAGACAGTTTTATGGGTCTAGGGTTATGGCGTGAACTATGCCCCTGGCAGGATTCAATTCACAAAATTAATAATTCCGACGAAGAGACGGGACTAAAATCTTCAACTTCTACTCTACGATTTGTTTAGATGGGTTTCGAGGCCTAAGCGCGTTAATAACATTAAAGTTCATGAAAGGATGACGATTTTCTTAGAACAACATGTCGTTAAGGTCAAGGAGGAAAGTATAATCCGGGCTTTCCTGAAGGTCTTTGAAGTTGTTTAGTGTTGTTGACATTTAACCTTGTGTGGTAACGCGATAATCCGTCACATAACTTCATGAACTGATACTACCAGCACTGTCAATCATATAAATGTTGCGCATAATGAAACCAGGTTTGGTAATCAGTTTTTGTTGCAATGCAAATTGAAGTAACCACAAAGCTGACGTATTTTAGAACAGAAAATGTATGTCACTCATTAGGAAAATTATTCATGCTTGGTAAAACATCAAGGTGATACACAATCAGATTGCTGTAGACGCTCTTTCTATGTGAGGAATGGCGGGGTAGCTAATTGGTTAAAACGTCCACTCGTCACGCTGAAGGACTGTTGTCGATTGATGATGATGATAGGATATTGATATAGCGCACATATCCACGCAACTATTATATGCTCAAGGCGCTTGAGTGCTCCCTTGATCAACGGGTGTCTTTTTTCTGGCATTCTTTCAACCATCTCAACTCCTTGGGGAGTATTCAGCTCATGCAGCCCGTTAGGCGCAGCGAGTTATCACACAGCCTCATCCTCACAAGGTACCCATTTGCAGCTGGGTGAACTGGGACATATAGTCACAGTATTTTGTCCCATGGTACTGCTCGTTAATATACCCGCAACTTATGATACCGTTCTAGTTTTTAATTGAGAGCTGTGATAATCTAGTATTTTTACTTTCCTTCGATGATAGGTTTTTACGTTTTAAATTTATTAGTTTGAACATTGTTTAATTTGTTCTCGTGACGATATGGCTGCAATATGGCCGATGTGACGCTATATATTAACTCACTCACTCTGATCTGAAAAAAAAAACCAGCGGTTATTATTAACTATCAACCATCTATTATGTTCTAATTCTCTTCGATCAACCGAACATAAAATATTTATTTTGTATAACAAAAACACACATTAGGGTTATGTCTACCGCAGCTCAACGAGCAGACGAGCAGGTTTATTTACAAAGTACATGTGCAATGTTTACGCATGCTGAGGCCGTACATTCGTCTTCCTGCAAAACAATGTATGCAAAATTAACTTTAATTAGCAGATAGTTGCAATATTTAAGAGAATGATTAAAACACTTAATACACGTTAGGATACAACTCCAATTCGCAATAATTTGTATATTCATTTCATATGTTCATATATATATATATCTAATTTTAAAGAAGAATACTTATCTTGTAAATTTCCGAGATATTGTCTCCAGCTCCGCCGCCCCATTCATGGTCTACTGGCTGATAATGACTCTTCAAAAACACTTGAACTTACGCAAAAGTACCATAAGGTTTCAACTGCCAAACAGCATGAACAACTTCCATACGGAATCATTTACTCAGTCAATTTAATGGAGATAGCTGCTCGCCTGCACAGTGCGAAGACCTCGAATGATTGTTCATTCTTCTTCATACACCAAGAAACCCTCTCACGTGACTTCGTGACACCACTTTCACGATGCAACTCAACCTGCTGCGTTAGCCAAACCTGTACCGTATTTTACCCAAAATAAATTAATTTATATTCTAATTCTCTTCGATCAACCGAACATAAAATATTTATTTTGTATAACAAAAACACACATTAGGGTTATGTCTACCGCAGCTCGAAATTAAAAGAACGGGTGTTTGTGTTCGGACATTTTATTCTTACCAACCCAACAACTATGTTACACTCAACAATTCTTTGACATTATCTTTCACAAAGCCACCGTCCTTTGCATTTCAGAAGCCCAGCGGCCATGTCTTTTTGAACAGTCGGTCTGGTACACCTGCACTAGCTGCAGTCGTGTATGCGCCACCAGAACAAAAACTATGCAGTCCTATTTTTTCTTAACATCTTCCCCTATAACTTTGAATTTTTTCAATAAATATTTCTCTGGCTCTAGAATAAGAAATAGGTGCGTCTCCCTCAGTATGTGATATCCACGCTTTTTACAAAACTTAACTTTCTAAATAAGTATTCTGTGAATGTTCGCAAATTCCAGCTTTCACTATATAACGACGTAGCATATCAACAGGACAGAGTTCGGGATCAGAAGCTGAAATCAAAACATGTTTACCATCTCTATAGATATCAGTCTTGCTTGTTTCTATAAAAATGCGCATATACCCATCACAGAAAGTTATATCTGACCTTATACTAGAAACCTCAGAAAATCTGAAAAAGCCTGCAAACGAGAGATAAGTGACATTGTAAGAAACCTTAAGTCTAACAGCGAACAATCCTGTTTTACCAAACTCAGAAACCAACTTTCTCAACATATCAGTATCAATCGGTTCTTTTCTTTGCACTGGTTCACTATAATGCCTCATAGCTGCTTCCTTAATGTTCTTGATAAGATCGTTCTGGCACGGATCTGTCAAACCTGCCATTCTGTGAGCTCCAGCTTATACCATATATAGCTTCAACTACAGTCGGTGAATGTTTGCCTTGTTGAACAAGGGAAGTAAGATACAACCAACATGAAAAGAAGTTGCTGGTAAACTGCTCACTTCATCAAACGTTGATGCCCACTTTTTGCCATAATTTAAAAAGCTCTTTTGTATTTCTGAACTGTAGGATTTGCTTTCGATTGACAGACAATATGAGGTGCATTTCCTTTGACAGACTTACGAAGTCTTTACCAAAGGAAAACCTACTGCCAGCTGAAACAAATCTGCAAATTCAACAAAGAGAGTTAATTTGATTGCAATAATGTGTCCACTAAATTTATCAAATAGACCTTTTCTGCTGCCACCTGTAATGGAATTGTTAGTACTTTAAGCTGTATCATATCTGGAAACAGGAAATGTCTAGGTTTGTCCTTCCAAAACAGTATTCGCCAAACGGGGTAGACGTCCACATAGGAACAACTAAAGTTACTTTGTGCTTTTGGCAACTCAAAACAAACCGAATAGTCTTTGGTAGATGTACTGGCGGAACAGCCCAGTTGTTATCTCCCCACCCATTGCTGTGTGAACGCATCTACTGCGTCTGTGCCAGGAACCCAAACTCTGGAATTAAACCTCACTAACTTGGTGTTAATGTGATTTGCAAATCGGTCGATGGAATGTGGGCCCCATCTTTTATCCAGGAATCTGAAAACCAAATCAGTTATTTTCCAGTCATCAGAATCTTTGAAATCTGCTCAAAGCATCAGCCTTTTCACATTATCGATCTTGGGATCCAACTGAACTTTAGCCCTTTATATTGTAAACACTAGCTGTAACAAATATTGACAAAGAAAGTTTCTTTTGCAAATCTTTTTGAAACTTCCACGATGAGGCAATGTGACAGCAAGGCTTACTGTCCGTGAACCATTTTACAGATCTTCCGCACAATATATTTGAAAAGGCATACAAAGTTAATTCAACAGCCTTCATTTCCCTCCACGTTGAACTTAACTTGGCCTGTTCCGAGTCCCACGCACCTTGAAATACATGTTCAGAGTTTGCGAAATATGACCTGCGCAAACCGATATTACTCGCATCAGAAAAACAGGAATCATGGGCATACAGCTCACTGACAACGATCTAGGCTT